ACAAATCTTTCAGATCCTTCGTCCGTGCGAATCCCTCGCAATTCAAGCAAGAATGGTCAGGAATAGCGAAGGTAGGAGTGAGAAAAAAGGGTGCAATAACAGAAGGACCGCGACTTTTTCTTCCGCGTACATCGTCATTTTTACAGAAAGATAATATTCCAGAAGAGGATTCGAAAAATCGTGGCAATCTATTCCTCTATACGAGAGGAATAACGAATACGAGAATCAAATCTTGCTGATTTTGCGATAAAATATTTTGATAAAAATAAATAAATATAATAAGCACTAAAAAAGCTTTAGCCGAGCTCTTCAAAAACGCTAATATACTAATTTTCATAATTACAAATTAATTCAAAGAAAGCGATATTTTGTTTTAATTTGTTAAAATAACTTTCACTGTTTTAAATTTATTCTTTAGCTATACGACTTCTACATTAACATTTATTGTCATCTCTATTGTCTTTTTATTATTTTATATATTATAAAACAGAAATGTTAATTAAAGCAGAAAATTAATTAAATTGTAATGAGCATTAATGTCTGTCCAATTTTGTCCTTATTTGGATAGTACTTTAAAATGCACTGTCAGTGCATATAAATTATTTAAGATGATAAAAATATGTCGAAACATAAATATTCGAGGTTACGGCTAAGTAAGACTTAAGTGATGAATTAAATTGTAAGTATGGCCTCTGTTTTAACGATATTCAGAAGTTGTCAGACGAGTGTCGGGATTTAGCTTTCTCTCTGTACATATATGCACTGTATGTCGCAATGACACAGTTGGTTCCTTGATAGAGATTAAAATGCAGTAAAATTGCTTGTCGATAATTCATCGAATCAAAAATTTACAAACAATTACTTTCAGTATTATATTATAAATATATAAAAATAATATTATCTAGCCTCTCTCTCTTTCTCTTTCACTATCTCTCTCTTTTCTTCTCTCTTGGATATATGTATATATAACTTTACAGAACCTAATCGACAAATTTGTGATAAGGTGAATTTATGCCAAGGGCGTCACTCTATGCGTACGTTGATAAATCGAGCACGATCAACCAACGCGAGTAATAATATCTTCAGACAACTAGTAGTATGAATGTGCGTATATATGTGTGTGTATATGTTAGAGTAAGATATTATTATCAAATATAAACTTAAAAAAAATATATATATTTATATCGAGTAATATTATATCGATGGATTCATATTTGATACTTATTATAAAATTTAAATGTACATGCAAAGTTATATATAATAGTAAATTATATTCTAGAAAACTGGGATAACGATACTTCAACTAAACTTTTTTGATTGTTGAAAAACCGTCTACCGAGAGATGCACTTGCATTCTATTCCATCATTGCACTCATTTTCGCGTCTTATAACGCTTTACGACTTACAACTTTTGTTGCCAAAATGTCGATTAGCAAAATGATTATCTATGTATGCAAATATCTGTAAGCATCGTGAAATAATAATTCGACTCCAGATCGAACGATTCAAAATTAATCAAGTTACCAACGAATCATGGCGAACGTGCCGTTCTGAGAATAACTATTTTAATTCAATATCCGTCGACTCGCGATTCATCGAGTCAGTGTCTCGTGGATCAGGACAATTATCCCTAAAAAATTTCTCTATCGTCATGAAAACGCACGAATTTAAATCCTCACGTCTTTGACGGATTTGTTCTCGAAATTAAAAAAGACACAGCTTACTCTCTAGATACGATTATATTATACAGGTATGGAGTTAATTTAGTTACTTTAAATTATAATTTCAGATTATTACGGCAGAATTGCTTTAGATTTGTTTTCTCCCAAAACAATATCGATGCTTGCGATATTCTGTCAAGAATAAATAAATTTATCCAAGTCAAATATATTAAAAAATATTTTTACTCACAATAACTTCACGTCATCGCTATTTACGAATGCAACGAGGATGCGACCCTGCGTGTTGGAGCAGCGCGATGTTGAAACTCAAATAAAGCCATTTAATATGCGAATAGCGCACATCGCGGAAGACACATGTGTCATTACAGGTTCCGAAGAGAGAGCATCACTTAAGATTCGCAATTTGCCAGAACGAGGTGTAAAAACATTTTTTGCATCACGGGTCATAATTTGCACATCTTGCTGTTTTGCCTTTCTATCGCTGATATCTCGATATTCGATACTCACGACAGAAGATAACACAATCATTGTCAAGTTATTGCGATAAATAGGTACGTATACTGTAACGCAAGTCTTTCGATATACTGAGGTCTCTCGATGCATTTACTGACAGAGATGTATTTGTTTCAATCGATTTGCACACGCGAGATTGAAATAGTTTCTGTCTATTATAATTCGATTATTTTTGTTGAAAATTTTATTTAGGTTCCAAAATAAATTCAGCGACGCGATAATACATTCGTATATTATACAATATATTATGCAAGATTGTATTTTGAAGCAAGATAGTTCCTTTATATTAGATTTAGATCATGATAAATACAGTACAACGCCGAGCAATATTTTGTCTGCATGATTTTTAAATAAAGCAATAAATGATTCTTTCTATATGTAAAATTAATTATATTGTGTTATATTTTTGATAAATTTTACTTTTAAAAATAAATATTTTTAATTCACGAATTAAAATTAGAATCTCAAATTTTCTTAATTTCTGAAAAACATTTAATATTTATATTAATCTACTTTATATTATATATATATATATATATATATATATATATTTATCTAGCAATTTAAAGCACTAATTAAAAATATATAATATGATCTATAATTATAAAAATATAATATATATAAAAATAATTATATTAAAAAGAGAAATTAAAAAAAAATATTGAATATTTAAGATCTTTAAATAAATATTGAATATTAAATAATTTTAAAAATATATATAATTATACATATAAATAATACGAAAATTTTGATTGTAAATAATTTCTTAGCAATAATTGAAAATTGTCTTCGTTTGCGCGCTATTATATAGGCATAAAAATTTGCGTTGTAGAAGTTATTATAAAGAAACTGACCCGAAGGATCGTCACGTCAGTCCGTCAACGAAATGTCGCTTCGGCGGAAATTCGCCCCGCGGAATGATATTTCGCTAGATTGGCGGGTTCCAGAAGCGATCCGAGTTCGCGATGACACAAGTTCGACTTGTGTTGCTTATATTCGTATCTACGGAGTTCGAGGTGTGATCGGAATATAATCGATTCACGCGAATTATCCTAGAATGTTTCGTACCGGATTGTCGGACAAGTTCGGCGGTGTTTCGAATAACAATTCAATCCGTATTTTCCCAATCTTCCGAATCTTCGACGATTCACGGAGACACATCGATCCTCTTTCCCTGTACCTGTTGATCGTCGTTAAATCGAGAGACTTTTTTGTGTAACGTAATCGATGCGTCTTCTTCCATTTCAGAAAAATAAAACGGAGAAAGAATATAAACCCTCCCGAAAATTATACAATTTATTTCAGATGCTTTATAAAGGATGCTAATATAAAGGAACTATCTTGCTTCAAAATACAACCTCAAGGAGAAATAGTGTTCATCATTTAAAATTCTATTTTTTATACCCTAAAAAGAAATTTGTTAACTTGACTAAACCTTTCAATTAAACATTATTTTATTAATTAAACATATAAAAATATTTAAATTAAATATAACATAATAAATCTAGCAAAACGTATATTTGAATTATATATTCAATCAACAAAATAGTCATTTAATTAAAAGGTTTAATCAAGTATAACAATTTTTTTCAGTGTACGGTCAATTTGCAAAATAAACTTTACATTATTAAATAATATTTGTAAAATTGTCATAAAATATAGTGTTATTCCTATAACACATATATACACATTGTATATTTTACTTTATTCTGTAACGTGCATTTTAATGATTGCAAAGTATCATTATCAAAAAATTCCAAAGCTAATATGAAGCTTGCAATTAACAGGATATTTGAATATGATAAATTTTAGGTGTTGAAGAAGTATAATAGCTATGTCAATACAGATGGTGACTTAATGAATTCACAATTGTGCTCGCATTAACATAAGCAAAACGTTTAAATAATTATTTGAATAATTAATTAATTTTTTTCGACTTTTTCTCTCATATCGGATTTTATTTTGACTCTTCAATCGTCAAAAGCACGAACGAAACAGAGCTCAGCTGGAGCACAGAGAGATGTTTGAATCGTCTGCGCAAACCTTCTATCAAATTACACACAAACGGAAGAATGTGACAAAGTGCGTCATGATATAGAATCCAAGGAAGAAAAGATATCTTCGGCATCTCTACAAAAAGGCGGGAGATCATTTGTAATACTCTAACATATGAATCGATCGTAACTATCTAGCGATAAGTATGCCTCCACGTGAGGTATGCGGCGATTCTTATCATCAGACGTAAGTGAGATACATAACAGGTATAATCGCGGTAATTGAACCGCATGAACTATCTAATCGCTGTCGCGCAGAATTTCGGAAATTCTCCGCGAGTTTCCAACTGATAAATTCTCGCGAACATTCCCAACAATGATAACAAATTTATAATTTAATATAATTTTTAATTTTTATCTCATCTAATTTTAATCGTTGAAATAATTTTCAAAGTCATTGTTATTCTTTATGTACTGGATTAAATGATATATTACTACGAACACTTATTTCGTAGCGTCATTGAAAAGTTTTGCAGTGATAAGTTATAATCTCAAAATTCTTTCCTAGGTCGCGCGTGATTAAATTGACACGAAATGTCAATTAATATCTCTTCAATCATCGTTCAGTAGTATTACACGTGCAGTTTTCAGTTCGAAAGAAGAACATTGCCGAACCGTCACTCCGAAGCTGTTTTCGGAGCACGGTCCGCTTCAAGGAGGAATTTCGCGAGTTACGAACCCCAGTTCAGGGACCAGACGATCGGTTACCATGATAATAAAATTGATGAACAATCGATTTGAAAAACCTCACCTCGGATGCTGCCACCAGGCCGTCCGCCGCGATCAGCAACAGGAACAACGCACTCTTTAGCAACACACGGTTCTTCATCTCGTCGCTGGTCGTCCGTCGTCGACCGGCAAGGAGTCACTTCTTCTCTCGACCTCTTCGTCCTCTTCCTGACTGACCTTTCTCTTCCTCTCTTTCTTTTTTTTACCGTTCGTCCTCTTGCTCTTTCTCTCGATCGACACTACGGGACACCTCAGCGACGATGCATGGCGAGAATGGAGCGATGAAAAAATGATTCCTCCGAGGACAGCTGCTCTCTTCGTCCTATGAATGACGCTCGTCGAGAGCTTCCTCGATGGTCCTCGGTGGTCCTTTCGCGAGCGCGTAGGTGGACGAAACGGACGGAAGCTGGGATGCCGGAAGGACCTACCAAGACCGGAAATCGCGGCACACAACTTGGACCTTTTCTCTCTCTCTCTCTCTCTTCGTTCTTTGCTCCCTTTTAATTGCTACTCGTCCCCGAGGAGACCGCGCGACCACGCCGTGGCCAACAACACCGTACCGGCGTTCGGTAGCGTCTGAGAGGCCGAGCGCACCGACAAGATAAAACTTTTTCAAAAGCCCCGTGGTTTTCCCTCTCCTCTTCGACGAATCCGGATCTTTCTCTCACACTACTTGCTCTCCTCGTCTCGCACTCGTGGCTCGACTTCCTCTTTCTCCACGTTGGATTCCCTCTTGCAGAGGAGAGTTCGTCTTTCCCCCTTCTTCCATTCACTCCCTCTCTCCATCTCTTTCTCCCTCTCCTTGTATTTTGCCGCCGCGATCTCGCAGCCTCTCCCACTACTCTCCGAATCGGCACATTCCCACCCTCCGTCAGATTCTTCTGATCCGCTGTCTCGCTCCATCGAACTTCACCCTCGTTGATTTTCTCTCTCTCTCTCTCTCCCTATCTTTCTCTCCGTTCCTCTCCTTTGCTTTCTCTCTCTCTCTCTTTTGATCCCCACCGCCGTAAGGGTGGACGCGTTTCTCCCTCGGACTAATATCCCCTGGGATTCTCTCCTCGTTCTCATCGTGGTCAAAGTCGCTCCCTGCTGCCGTATAGCCGCTGAACGGCAGGGAGATCGCTTAGACAGCCGGCCCGCGAGTGAAGATCACGATTGCACATTCGCACACCCGCACTCACTGCAAGCAAAAAATGCTTGCGATGTAGCAATGCATCGATATCGTAAAAATATCGATTTTTTTATTAATGAAATTATACTTTTTCGCGTGTCAATTACTCCATTTTTAGCCAAGCATACATTTGAATAATAGCAGAAATAAATCAATCAATTGAACTCTAATTAAGATAGCAAGAGAGAGACATTATTTATGTAAATCATCTCATAAATTTTTAATTAAATTAAAAAATGTCAATCAAATTTTTTTATTAAGATAACTAAAGATCATACACTAAGTAAATATAACTTTTGACATATATAATTGTTATCATTCAATTGGCTTTACATTTATGATATGCAGCTTTTGAAATATAATTAATTGCATTTTATATTTAAATCAATTATACATATAATATATAAATACATATACACATATATACAAACACATATTCCTAGATATTACATATATATATATATATATATATATATATATATATATATATATATATATATATTACCTTCAAAGATATTTAATATAAAGAATAGAATATTTATGATATTGGTAGAATCAATTTATTATTGATATCGAGTATTTTTGATATCAGATTTAATTTGCTCTTCCAGATATCTGAATTACCTTTAATTAATGTATCTAAATAATTGATTAATAATCGAAGATGTTATTTGAAACGTTATTATAATTGAATATTAAAAATTGGAATTCAACGAATTAGGTTTCTGGGACATGAGAAAATTACGAAATCTTACAATTGAATTAATGATTTGGAAGTGGATTTTAACTTAATCGATAAACTTTGTTATCAGTTAAAAGTTAACTTACAAAAATGTTACAAAAATTTAAATGTATGAAAATGATATGTGTGTTTGATTAAACTTTATGCAATATTTTCAAAGTTAGACAAAATATGTGTGTGTTGTCGTATATAATCTATATAAGACATTTAATTTTTATAAGTCATCTTAATAAATGATGCATTATTTAAAATTACTTTGTGACATGTATTGTACATTATGCGAATTTACATTACGCATAAACTGCAGCCAGTCGCGACAGTGCGTTTTAATCGCCGACCCACGCGTCTCGTCGCTGCTGAAAAAGAGCATTAAAAATAATGTTTCCTCGCAGACTGCTTCGCAATGGTCCTTTCTCTTTCTCTCTCTTTCATCGTCTCAACAACGTTCAACAGATGCAAGGGAGATGATATTTTTTAAACGGGTCAAGCGTCACCACGCAGCCGCACTGTCATCGTTATTCGTGCTCTGGCTATATGCATTGCATTCGTTCTCTGATTGTGAGTTTTGCAAACTCTTCGACAAACGAGATGCATCTGTTCGTAAAACATCATTTTCAATATAAATTTAGGCCAGATACGCGTAATGCCTCTGCCAGATCAACGATTACTGTGACGATTATTTTTAAAAATGTATAGTTGACTTATAGTGAAACTTTACAGTGAGAAGATTTAAAACCATTAAAATTTACAATAATCATATCACTGAAAAAAAGATATTGATTTCAAATAAGTATTTATTTCAATATAGTGCCATTAACACTATTTGTTTGAAACTAAAATAATATTGATTTACCGTGAAAAAATACTTATTTGAACTTTTCAACTAAATGATGCTAATGGCACTATTGAAATAAATATTTATTTGAAATAAATAGCTTTTTTCAGTATATAAGAGACATTCTAAAATATACTTGCATGCATAATTAATGCATTATCATAGAAATTATCGAAGAAAAAAAATTTTTTTTTTTTAACATTGATTAAGAATATAGAGAAGATTTATACTTTACTAATTGTTATATTTTCTCGTTTCTAGAAATTTTCTATTTTCAATACGTATCAAAGATAATGCACTTAACTTTTTATGTAGCAAAATTGTGATCGATAAATGAACGTATATATTGTACAATAGCTAGCAATTATTACTGTTAAATTTGAGTATACCTCTAATGTTTTTAAAAATGCTACAAATTTCTAAAAATTGATAAAGTTATAAAATATTTACATATTATAAACAATTTAATGTTATGACACAATTGTTGTATTTTTAATTGTTATATTTTATACATAATTATATAAAATTAACTTATATTTCTCACATAAATTATTCTAATTTTGAGATATGCAGAGTAAAGTCCTGAACTTGTGGAATTATACTATTTTTTATTATAATTTTTCACCATAGATTTAATCAAATTATGCATGACAGATTTTATCCTTTATAATATATGCATCGTAATAATTTTTAGAATGTCAATTATTAATAATTATCACTTATAAAACGCCTCCTGTGTAATCGATGTTTACAACTATAAAAAATATAATATTGTTATATCGAAACTGAAGAAATATATGTGAGTCGCGATCAAATAACAAAAGTTTTCAAATTTTTGTTGATAAGAAAAAGGATTAAGCTCCCCGATCGAGAGATTAAGATATATGGACAGCACATGGACAGAATCGTAAAAAAGATTCGCGAAAAGATGCGACACAAACACACACACACAGCTACAATCATTGCAAGGGAGGAAAGGTTATAGGTAATACTAACAAATACTAAAATAAATCTTAGACGAAACAAGCTCGGTTGCTCGGATAATTTACGACAGCCGTATGGTCCACGCTCGCACGTGCCTCTCGCAAAGTATCGAAAACGATTACCTCTTCTTTCATATCACCGATTTGCTCTGGATAATACGGCAATCGAAATCGAACAGTTATTACAACGCTAAAATAACGATGGTAGTGATAACGAGCATGTACGTGACTTTTAAAAGAATATGTAATTTATCATTCGGTATATCAATTTTTCATACATAGATATATGTATAGTATCTGCTCGATAATATGCACATTGATAAGAATATGATCACACATCAAATGCATATGTTACCGAACAGCATGCACTTTCTATATATATATACAATAAAATTGGAATATTAATTCAATAAAATTTAACAACAATAAGATTAATTGAAAGAGAATTATAAAATCACACAAGAAATTGTTATACATATTTAAAAAATTAAGTTATCGAATTTGATTATATATATATATATATATATATATATATATATATATATATATGTGTGTGTATATATGTATGTGTGCACGCGTGCGCGTGTGTGTATCAGATCATTCGTGATGGTAACTGTGTGAAAAATTATTTGATTGAATAAAAAAATGAGTATTTTATCGTCGTTGCACATGTAGATATGATCGACCAAAAATACTGACATATCGATTATAATAGCGTTTTTCATTGCAAAAGACTTGAAATACAATGCAAATATGGCAATAATTGTGATAAGTAAACGCGCAAATTGCTTGTTTTGCTATTAATTCGTTGCAATGATCTGCCGTTTGTTTTCTCCATGTTCCCTATATTCTTGATAGCTAAGTTTACTCGTGACACTGGTCAGACAATGCAAATAATGTCAAATATACGTATATTAATAGATAATGTATGCGACAAAACAATCGTGCGAAATTGTATCGTGAAGTATCACACTACTCTGAAATTGCCCGCGAAATTACCGTTGTACGTCGTGACGTAGTGTATACGTAGCAATGACGTAGTGCTGCTTGCCGCGCTTTATAAGGGCGCGAAATTTGTCTTTTGATGAGACAGTTTAAAAATAATAACATAATAAATATGTTCATTTTTCACGTAATAATAAATTTTAAAAACTTTATTTTTATACCCAGATAGCCACAGAAATTATTATGACATCATTTTGATGGCAAATGATGCATTTTGACATCAAAATGATATCATAATAATTACTGTGGCTATCTGGGTAACGTGTCAATATCTGCAAAATAATGATAGAGAATAGATCGTATAAAAAATATATGTATATATATATATATATATATATATATATATGTATGTATGTATATATTGAAACAAGCGGCTTACAAACGAGCACATCGATTGAAATCATCTAACTGCTCAAGTTGTATTATTGGTTCAAAGAATTTTATAGGGTCAAGTTGTTAATATTTCATCCGAATAAAAGCACGGGAATTAAAGATGCCAATCTCCAGGCGTCATATACGTTCATTTATTTTTATTGAACACAAAATTGTTAGCGAAATATTCATAACGCTTATTTGTTTGTGTTCAGACCTGTGAATTATAGAGAGAATTAATAATTAATAAATACGATCAATCTCGTTTTCAAAAACAACTTCCATAATTCTGTAGCCAACAGTTTTATAATCGGTTATATTTATTCCTGAAACAACTTATATATATGTATATTTAAAAATTTTGTAGCGCACAATAATAAATTGTTAAAAGATTAAATATATATATATATATATGTATATTTCATGTATTGTGAAAGTAGAATAAAATAAAATAATTATAAAAATCTCACTAGAGGTTTACAAAACTTCATGCGTTCAGTAACACAATTAATGTATAATAATAAAGATAAGAATTATATGTAATAATAAGGCCAATCAAAATACTTCTCATTGTTTATGTAAGTACAATTATCTGATCCTAGAACTACACACCACTTACAATTTTTAGCTACCTTCGATGTAATCGATGCTGTCCATCAAGATTTTTACTAACATTAAAATATTTTAATGTTGGAACTTAACAATTCGCATCTTTATACAATTTTTATCTGTAAAAGAATAAAAACATATGGAGTAGCAACATCAAATCCGTCACATTCTGTTTACAAATCTTTTCTCAAAAATATGTATGTACGAAAAAAGATAAATTATATCTAAAAATTTATGATAACTTTAAAATTAAAAACTATAATTTAATCATGGAAAAATCACTTTTTTGCGCCAGAACATTAATTGCGTTATTATATTAGTACATTCATATGCCTCTCGTTTAATTATTTTTTATCAAAACTTGTGTTATGTAATATAAATATAAATGTCAATTAAATTAAAATATTTAAAACATTCAAGTAAAAATAAAAATTTATTATTATGTCTTTTTGACTTTATTGAAAATTAAGCACGACCGACTTTTTTAATATTGATATATATGAATACATATATATGGGATAAAGTCAAAAATATAATATACTAAATTTTTTGCTAAACAACCGCAATATTAATATTAATTTAAAAGTGACAAGCGTGAAATAAAGAAAAATATACTCAGAGAGAAATATAGTAATAATTATATTTAAAATAATAAATCATTTAGAAAAAGTTTTCTCGTAATCTCTTTTAAAAATGTTATTAGATTATTAATGTTAATCGGTCGTGCCTATTGCAAAGAAACATATGTTGCCTTTTTTATATGATAATCCAGGAGGTGAAACTGCTTGTCTCTTTCTGTCAAACTGCATTGCACGCTTATCAATCCATATTAATTATGAAAAAAATTAGTTTTGCATCAATTTGTTTTGGCAGTTCGCGAGTTCTCTGGTATTCTTTCTTACAATCAATACATGCTTTAGGCTGCAGCAAAGAATATAAAAGCTAAATAGTCTGCACAAGCTAATTAGTATTATATGTATATAATATAATCGCATACGAATAATCGCTTAAAATTACAAAAGTATGTGTATGCACAAAATCATTGCAAATTCATATTTCGCATAACAATCTGCAGTTAGAGTAGCTTCATTGTTAATCGAGACATACTTAAACATTTCCATCTTAAATGCGCAATTCCTTCTAATTTGCATCAGAACTAAATAATAAATCAATATGTATGTGTTTTGTATATATATATGATCATGTAATGTAAAACTATTTTAATTCATGCAGTCCTATCCCTATCATAAAACAAAATCATAATAGGAAACTAAATCTCACTAAAGGTAAGTATATCACAAATATTGTGTCTGATGACCAGATTAATAATAGAGAAAAAAAAAGAATCATAAAGATGAGTGTGACTAGTGTATCATTACATTATCGTCATTACAAAAGTATTAAACTTATAAAATCTATCACGCGCAGTTCAATTAGTTTTTATAGGATTTGACTGCAAAAACTTTTTAAACTAACAATTCTATAATTACTACAATGTCAATTCATCGGCATATATGTATGAGAGTACCAAATTATATTTCAAATATATAACTATTCTACGGAATACTCTATTATATATAATACAAACACTTTTTTAACTGTTTGAAACTTATAGTTCCTTAAACTTTTGTTTGTAAATTTTTTTGACATAATACAAGTACATTTTTTTTGACATGGTACAAGTACCATAAGCCCATATCTTTTTGTGCGTATAAACGCGATAATTTATGTATAAGATTAATATATATTTTACTATAACTAATATTTTAACGAATACAATGTCAAATTTTACACTCATATACGTAATGCGATTTTTATAAGCATAAATTTAACAAGAATATAAACAGATTATTTTATATGGATAAGTATTTATACTCTTTTTTTATATAAGGTGTATGTGTATATATATATATGTATGTGTATATATATATATATATATATATATATATATATATATATATAACAATTTTTTAAAATGTAGTGTAAAATATATCACATGAATGGCGTTAATAATAAATTGTTACTGATGCATTTATATAAAATAATAATATAGTATTAATGCGCAATATATAACTCAATAAACATTGTTATTGTAAAAATAAAAATTAGAATTATAAATAAATACTATATACAATTAAAATATAGTCCAAATGTAATAATATCTATTCGCCTTAAAATATCATAAGAATAAATGTAATAATACAATATAATTATTTATATCAGTAATGATCTTATCTGAAACAAAAATGTACATATTGTATTAATGATTAAATTTGTGCTTTCCACTTGTACAGTCTCTGTAAATGTAAATGGTATTTAAACATGTAAGAAATACTTAACATTTAATAAAATTTGTGAAACATCACCTTACAATAATACTTTAAATATTTCTTTAAAAGAATACTAGTAAGTAAAAATGTTAAATGCTCAAGAGCGTCTTCCTGTTTGATAATAAAATCAAAAAAACAATTTAACACATATTCAGTACATAATTCTACTGTAAAGTTTTGATATAGTAATAAGAGTATGTGAATAATGTATAAATTGCGTTGTACATTCTCATGTTTATAATGCGAATATTTTTAATATGTTATAGACTGTCAAAATTTTGCAATAAAAATTTACACAGAAAAATTTGCACTGTAAATTTACATACATATATATGAAGATTAATTATAATGATTAGAAAAAAACTTGTTTTTTCTAAGTTCTAACTTCTCAGTCCTTAGACACAATCTGCAAATTTATTCTCTGGAATGCAGCATCTATAAAACTTTTGGTTCGATTTTAATATATCTCAAGTTATTTTCATTAAATGACATTTGCTTTTATTATAATGCATCTGTTCAGTTGACAAGCACAATATTGATATAATTGGCATACAATTTTGTTATGCTAAACATAAGAATGGCAGATTAGGCTGAAAATCTCAATATAATACTTAAATACTTATAAAACCAAATTTAGAAATTATAGAAAAAAGAGAAAAAACTATATAGCTGGAAGAAATAATCTTAATAATTCTCTATCAATCAAATCACATTACTATAAATATGAATAACTCTTTATCATACAAAAGTTCGTAAAGATTTGTATTTCTCTTTTTTTTATAAATCACAAAACTGTATAGATAAGGGAAAAACACATTATAAAAATCTTAATACCTTGAAATTAATGAAGCGTATTAAAAGCGTTTTCTTTTTTCGTTGTTAATACAAGTATGCAACTAAAACAATATAGTAAAATGAATGAAATATATTCAACTCAATAATAGAAATACTTTATAAGCGGATAATTTATAAAAAGCTTAAATCTTATATTATACAATTGTGTTTAAAATACAAAATTTGTCAATAATTGTCAATGTTCAATGAAGAAACAAAGAAAATCAATAACCTCATTTCATCCAATTCATAGCCTTTCAATTCATAGCATAGTATAAATTAAAAGTAAATTTAAACTTTTTCTAAAACTTCAATTGCTTCACCATTGGCCATTCTATTACTAGTTTTATGTCGATGATTGTACATAGTCTGCAGAGGTACATGAAGTAACTCCACAATCTGTATAAAGTTAGGCTCTGTAACAAAAGTGTATCGATAAATCAGTGTCATGCAACACTTTCTATATATACAAATTTTTACATAACAAAAAATATATAAAATCAAATAAAATTTTACCATTTTCCGCTGTAATGTAGCCATGTCTAATTAAGAAGTCAAGAGCAACTGGTACAGATGTAGTTTTGAAATGGGGAGAAAGTATCCTCTCTAAGCATTCACTAACAGGGAGTAATTCGAAGGTTTCTACCTCTCCATCGCTGTTGTTTGGTACAAAATCAGGTGGCAACTCAAGATCATATACAAATTCCGTGTTGGGAAATAAACCCCTTTCACTTTCGAAAAAGAACGACACACAACCAACACCCTTCAGCTTTGCAATAAGATTATTTGGAATACCAGCTTCTTCTCCAGCCTCTTTTATCGCGGTTTCATTTATGCCATAACCAACACTCAATCCACCGCTCACCATGCTATCCCAATATGCTGGCCATGTTTGTTTATTAGGACTACGTTTTTGTAACCATATTGATAAGCCTTTAACAGGATCCATAACATAGCCATTTATATCGACTCCATATTTCCGAATTCCAAATAAACCTATTATTTTAAGATATATAAGATATAGATATAGATAAGATATAAAAAACATAATGTTGTATGACACACAAAAAATATAAATAATTATTCACAATTCTTCCAATTCATTTAATAAATAAAAAAGTAAAATATCTATCTTTTTCTCATACATACATGTAGCTGAGCGATCCATTTTAAATAGCGATGATGTATTAAACTGAGCACGCACTTCATGACATTCCTCCCTCCAACCTCGTAGTGTCACAAATTTTCCACCTGCTTTCCATTCTCTTAATACTTCATCGACACGTGCGCTTCTTTCAGTATAATCCCGAAATGCTGGATTTAATTGCACATATTCGGGATGTACTTGAAATACCTTTGAATCAATGTTGCGATAAATATAAATGCATAAATTTATATTGTTATAAAGAAAAAATCAAACACACACTCACTTGAGGGTAATTTAATATTTCTTTCATAACATCTGGTCGCACAAGACCAATTTGTTGTCCATCGACAAGAAATGCTCTGCATTCTCCTGCATGTAGACCTAAAGAATAAATGTATTTTCGCGATTGATTAAATTCCATATTAATTATGATTCTGGCACATACATAAAATATATATCACTAAAATCTATTATTGTTACATGAAAAGCATTGAATGTTATTTTTTGCATAGTTTTTAAAGAACAATATATCTCACATGATAAATTTATATATATTATGTATTTTAGAAAGTTTTAGGTGTAAATTTACTCAAATAATCGTATTTTCTTTGAAAAATGCTACAAATTACAAAATTTTTTGATGTATAACGCTGTTTCCATTCTTAAAACAAGTATTAGTTATATCTGCCATTACAAAAAAAAAGTCAAGAGCGATTTTAGGAAGACTTATTTTTCCAAGAGAAACTGATAACCCTGGTCGATGATCCGAAACACAACAAAGACGCGCACAATAATCGCGCAACATGATAAATATTTGCATGTTTTTTTCACTATTTTGTTCCGAAACGCGAATGACAAATACACACAACACTCGAAATCAATATTCTTGTTGCCCCGCAGGAACGGCAGCCGCGCGTTCCTATTGATTATGCGACCGAGACGCGTCGATTGAGATAATACGGCACATTGAAGGAGCGACTCGTCGTTTTCGCTTACCTGACAGATAGAAGCAGTTAAATTTGTTCGCGAGTTTCATTAAACGTGACATCGACTTTTTATCGTTGTCCGCCATGATGTTACGTCGTTGTCATCCGGCCAGCTGCAACACGCGAGACTCTCTGTCTGGCATCGAATGTGACGTATACGAGATGGGAAACTCGTATGAGAATATAGCGCATGCGCAAGTCGGAGCGTCGCGTCCAGGGTTGAATAGGTATAAAGATGCCTTTTCACGAACCGATTGTTTGAGCGACAAAATGATCATGTAATAATTTTTGTCGCTAAACTAAACAGCGATAATTTTTGTACATATGAAAAGGATAAAGGTATCTTTTCGCGAGCCGCTGAAACAGATTGTTTGAGCGACAAAATGATCATGTAACAACTTTTGTCGCTGAATTAAACAGCGATCATTTTTGTACATGAAAAGGATAAGCAGCGCGACAGAATTGAAAGTTAAACGTTTAAGCAGTAAATGCTTTGTGATTGAACTGATTCAAACTACAAAATTGTTGATGCTGGATTACGAGCGACAAATCTGTCGCTTATTCAATCACTTGTTTTAGCGGGACGTGAAATCGCACCTATTAACAGCGCGATAGAATTGATAAAGTTGAACGTTTCAGCAGTAAATGCGCTTTGTAGTTGAATTGATTCAAACTACAAAATTGTTGATGCTGGATTACGAGCGACAAATCTGTCGCTTATTTAATTACTTGTTTTAGCAGCACGTGAAATTGCGCCTTGATATAGTTACATGATTTTGACACTATTAAAATTGCATTAAAAAAAAAAACAATAAATTATAAATCATGGTGAGCGATCGCAATATTGTTATTGGGATAAAGGAAATTTTAAAAAATTAAAAAAGCTCAGATAGACAATCCTTGTAAATTTATCACTAACGCCAATTAATCACTTATTTCGAGTACTTAAAATACTGATGTACTCGAAATAAGTGATTATATAATACCAGCAAACACCAATATATAATTGTTACATTGCTATAATAAAACGGAATATAACAGGTAATATAACGTGTACGTTACATGTAACATCTATGTTAGTTGTAATTTCTCACTCATAGATGTAACATTTTAATATAACATATATTACATTGTAGTTATATTGTAATTATATACCAAATAGCACATTGATGTATTGATAAGTCAGTGCTATCTTGGGATATAATGACAATATAACTACAATGTAATATATGTAATATTAAAAATGTTATATCTATGAGTGGGAAATTACAACTAACATATACGTTACATGTAACATGCTTAAGTATATAACATTTATATATTGTGTTTGCTGGGTAAGTACTCGAAATAAGAGATAAATTGGCGTTACGAGTAATAAATTTCTATAAGAGAAGTATGTTAAATATAGTATGCAAATTATATGTATACTTTGTAATGCAATTAGAACAGCACAAAATTACGAATTATTTTAATTAATTGTGCATTATAATGTCATATTGTTAAGATATATATATATATATTTGTATATTTTATAAAATAGCAATAATATGTTTCACTATATACTATAAACGCACAACTGCCGAGTCTACACTAAGTGTAGTAAACTCTAAAGGCTCGTTTTCATTGTGAATCGGCCTTACCCAACCCTGGTCGCGTCTGATTGGCTCGTTTTCAAACTCACTATGCGCCGACCAATCAGGAACCGTTAGTGATTTTTCGTTTCTAGGTGTCATGGTTTCTAGGTCAATCTAGGTTATGGCGTTGTTTGTTAGTCCGGGAAGTCGCAAGAGTAACAAGTGAGATAATAAATCATGGATATTTCGTCGCCAACTCGGAAGCGGTAATTATTTAATTATTCGTACTTAATTCTCGATTTTTAGCATTTTTTAATACTTGTGTTATTCGCGAAAGGATAATATGCGTTTATTTAACAACACGTGGAGCAAAGAGGAGAGAACTCGGGTGTGTTTCACAAACACGTGGGTTTTTTTCGCAAAAATATTTATCAATTAATTAAATTCTAAAATCAATAACAGCTTTTTAGACAAAGATTTGAAAATATAGTTGAAGAAATATTTCAATATTTTTCGTAACGCTCGCACAATATTAAATTTGAGAATTTGATTGCTATTTTTATATGATTAACTTTTCTTTTCTTTTTTTTTACAGAAAGCACAGTTCAGATACTTCTGAATCGGAATACAATTCTTCGGATGAAGAGGTAAATATAATTTTCTTTTATGTGTAAAATTGCTGTGTGCGTATTCTAACCTTTAATTTTTTATGCACGTGCTGCTCAGCTGCAAGAAGCCTTCACGAAAGGATTATTGAAACCAGGTCTCAATGCTGTGATTGAAACGAATAAGAAGCAGTTCAAAAATTGTGTCGTAAGTTGTTATTTTGTTGTCGAGAAATGTAATATTTTGAAACGATTTTCTAACTTAACTAATTTTTATAAATAAATTTCAGAGTCTCATGAAACAAAAGTTGAGTGACATAAAGCTAAACTTGCCATGGGTTGAAAGGCTAGATATGGTAAACGCCCTGGCACCACTTGCACCAGAATTGGCTCTTGAAATGCAGGAGCAAGAAGTGAGACGAGCCAAACAGTTGCAAGGAAACAAGAAGTTACCTCAATATGAATCGTCTCAAGATCCTGTTTTAAATGATTTTCGTAGAGAAACCATGTTTCATCGTCAAGCTCAGGGTGCTGTTATGGATGGCATTGCTAGATTAAAGAAGCTTGGCATACCAACATTTAGACCAAATGATTACTTTGCTGAGATGGCTAAATCTGATGATCATATGCAGAAAGTACGAGAAAATTTAATGAAAAAACAGGTGATAGCACAAAGATCGGAAAAGGTGAGACAATTGAGGCAACAAAAGAAAGTGGCCAAACAAATGCAAGTAGAGGCAACTTTGAAAAAACATGCAGAAAAAAAGAAAATGCTGGAAGAGGTTAAAAAGTATCGTAAAGGTGTAAGGCAGGATCTTGATTTCTTAGAAGATAAAAAGAAACCACAAAATAAACAGCTACATCGTAAAATGAATCCAAAGGCACAAATGAAAGCAAAATCGAAGGCTGATAAATATGGTTATGGAGGTAAGAAGCGTCGTAGCAAATGGAACACGAGAAGCAGCTCGGCCGATGTTTCTGAATACAAACGGCCACAGAAAGGAAAATTACAGAAAGGAAAACCAAGATTAGGTAAAAATCGTAGGAAACAAGTAAAAGCAAAGAGGAAAACATAAGAAACTTGAGTAATAATGGTAAGCTTGATTTTTATTTTGTATGATTCTGTATACTCGAGTAACTGTGCGACTGAACTTTATCAATAAATTGTATACACTATCGTATAATTAATATAAATTATATGATAATGTACTTATTTTCCTGTCTGTTCCAGACATTATCCAAATTCCAATTAAATTTCAAAAAACTATGACAACGCACTTTAATTTTTAATGATTTAGATATAAATTTTGTTGTGTAAAAATGTTATATCTTGCTAGAATTCAGATTCATAAAATGCATCATGCAAACTTGCAGCATTTACTTTAATTCTGGTCTTATAATAGCATGATAATTAATAAGAGAAATTAAATATTTTTATTTTGTAATAATCGATAACATGCATTTACATTTATATTGCACATGAGATTCTATATCAACAGTTTTAAAATTAGAATTGAAATTTCAGCGATTGCATATTACCATATATTACGGGTTCCAACTAAAAATCGCACAAAATTTCATTTTTTCCCCTTCGTTCTCTTCTATATCAGCCAGGGGGAAAAGAGCGGCTTGACGCGAAATTCACGCTGCAGAATTCGATCACCTAACACATGTTCCGCATTAAACAATCCGTTGTATGTACACAGGGTGCTACACGCGTAGGATGTCGATTACATCGTCTATTACACCCTTCCCGAATCGAGCACACGGATACATACATACGTACGCGAATGCGCAGCTCTTGCGATATCCCTCTCTCATTCCCCGGCGGTTGATCCATCGATGGATATATCCCGACATCGATAACGATCTGGTGAACCTGTCGTCGTTCTTCTCGCAGGCTGGGTCTATCGTTTGGACGTGCCTTGGCAAACATGGATTGAAAATTCGAGGGGCGCATCGTACGTGCACGTGCGGCAAACGTATATACAAGGTGAACTAGGAAGATGCTCCAAAAATTCCGAGTTTATTGTACGAATAATTAAAATGATATTTAATTATATAAAAAGAGACACTTGTAATTTAAATGCAAAGAAAATTATATAGTCTTTTTAAATTTAAATTCCATTTTTTTTCTGTAAAGTAGAATAGAATGTTAACTTGCAATTATTTTGTAAAATGCGATGTATTTATGTTGCTTTATAATTTTATAACTACTGTTGTAATTATTAATCTGACAATGAAACGCATAAATTATTGAAAGAGCTATATATGTCTCGAACGATAATAGTCGAATTTGGATGCATCCGTCTTGATTCACCTAGTATGGAACGCGAGTTTGTCGATGTTTCGAATTGTCGAAGTACGAGGTGGTTCGTAGAATACTGGATAATACGCGTGATTGGGCTTTGAATGTATACAACTTGTTATTTGACGAACGGAAATACCGCCGTTACGAGTTGCGTACATAAGGACTCTCCGCCTCTCCCCACGGCTGTATGCATACATTCTATACATATAAACACGTATATCGTATTACACAAAGTGTGCATACATTAAGAGACACGATATTCAACTTCTCAAATATATATAAATATAAAAAAATTATCTTAAAAAATTAATAGCTATTGTCAAAGCATTGATTTTTTATGGAAAAGCGCATGAGCGATTTGAAGATATGTATAATTTCTATATAATTTATGAAATCTCTATTAGTTTATATTAATTTATATTAATATATATATATATATATATATTTATATTAATATTATTTAAATATATTGAATTTAAAAATTAAGTTTTAGAAATGAAAATTTACATGAAATTGTTTTTTGAAAGTATTATTTTTATTGCATTATATATATATATATATATATATATATATATATATATATTGCGCCGCTGCCGCTGGTTATTATATTAAATTTCAGTAATATACATCTCTCTGTCTCTGCTGACATATCTTTCGTTTCGGTTGATACGAACACACGAGAGCTTACCCTGGGAATCCGCCTCCCAAGTAGCAGCTGTTTTCGCAACACCGGCTCTCGTGTTTCGAATTTTTATTTTTCGCGCGGTAATTACGTAGGTGCGCGTCAGAGGGAGGGTGGCAACGCATGCGCAGGTTGGCACGCTTGCTTTCTTCCGCCGATAGTCCGCCGCGTCTACGTTTCGTGTGCGCGATATTTGCTCGATTTTTAACGCGTTCGTACTTCCCAGTGCGTAAAGGTATGCAAAAATGCAACGCACGAAAAGCTCGACGTTCAGAGGAAGAGAGGCATTAAAAGGAATCGTCGCGGGAATTAAATTCGGACGTGAAATCGACGATCCTCGGAATTGCCGCCAACGGAGCTTCGCGAGAGCCTCGAGTGTCGCCTTTCTTCTGTATTTAAGGTACGAATAAATCTATACAGACAATCAATTCTGTAATATTTTCAATACTTGCTACATCGAAATATCATATGTATATCCGTAACTTGTCACGATATTCTGTATGCGGAATAAATTCGAGATTTTTTCTCCCGCTCACGCATTTACGCGCGCGCGCACACACATATATATATGCGCATATTTATGGCGGGAATCCAGACGCGGGAATTAATATGGTCTCATCTCGCGGATGCAGATATTTGTATTGACAACAACTGCGGCGCGACACGTATCCTCCATCGGTTGCTAATGGGCGAAATTTGTTTCGTCCAGTGTCTGCGGGCAATTTGGCCGATTTCAAATTTACCGGAACCATACGTATCGTATCGCGTATCGTAGGTACAGCCATTTGTGTGTGTGTGTGTGTGCGCGTATTTGTGTGCGAGCGAACATATCTCGACACCAGACTGCAATGAGCCCACGGAAATGTGACGCGTCGAGTCAATATCCATCTCAATTATCCGCCTCCGAATACCGTTTCTGAAATGATCTCGCGTATTACAGAACGTGGTGTTCTCGTTTAATCGATATTCATTTTGCGGTTTATGATTATCGCCGTCGTTAATTGCCGGCTCTTTTTATAACGGAGCTTTTTGTAAAAGCTGTTTAGCTCTCGTTTGGCGAACGATCAACTTTAATTGATTTTTTCTCTGATAAAAATTATATAAATTCGAAACTTATATATAAAATTATATAAAATATAATATATATATTTTTTATTTCACGGAAAAAATTAGCTACTATAACTAAATTTTAGCTGTTCTTATAAATTTAGTTATGCCTAAATTTTAGCTACGATAACCAATATTTTTTAGCTATAGCATTCGTTAAATTATAGCTAAAAAATATTAGTTACCATAGCTAATATTTTAACATGATAACTAAATTTCATGTGTATAGGACATCATAAAATTTAGCTATGGTAGCTAATTCTTTTTCCGTGATAATAATATATATAATTAATTATAATTAAAATTAATTATAATTCATATAATGTTATATTTTTTTATAAATTGTATAGAATTTATATAATATACCTGTATATAAAATTATATATATAAAATAAAATACACAAAAAAAATTAGCCACCATAGCTGAATTTTAGCTGTCTCTATATATAGTATATACATATTACAACCTGAAATATTATCATGCCTAAATTTTAGTTATGGTAATTAATATTTTTTAGCTATATAGTTAACGAAAAATTCTATAGCTAAAAAATATTATAGCTAAAATTTAGACATGATAATTAAATTTCATGTGTAATATAGGTACATCATAAAATTTAGCTATGGTAGCTAATTTTTTCCGTGATAATAATATAATTAATTATAATCAATTATAGTTCATATAATATATATTTTTATATAAATTATTTAAAATATATAACATGTAATTTATATTATATATAATATAAAAATATATGGAAAAATTAGCCATCATAACTTTAACTGCCCTTTATTACAACCTGAAATTTAATTATTATGCCTAAATTTTAGCTATGGTATACTATTATTTTTTAGCTATAGTGAAACGGAAAATTTTATAGCTAAAAAATATTATCTATCATAATTAAAATTTAGGTATGGTAGCTGAATTTCATGTGTAATATAAAGACAGCTAAAATGTGTTATTGCTAATCTAATAAATTTATATATAATATTTTAATGTTATATATATTACATGTATGTATAATATATGTTTTATAATTTATATAATATTTTAATTTTATATATTTTACATAAATGTAATATATATAAAATTAAAATGTTATATAAATTTATTAGATTAGCAATAACACATTTCTACTTTCAATTTTGTACATTATTACGAATACTGTTTTACGAGTATGCAAAATCGAGTATGAAGAGGAAACGGAACTCGGAACTGCGGACAGATTCCACTTCTCTCTCACCCTCGACAGAAATGCATGCTTCCCAATGCGCGTCAACGAGCTTTCCGCGGAGGAGAACGTAAAAATCGCTGGCTGCATTACGCGTGTACGTTCATGCGTGGGTGCGCGTGGCCCGGGATAGTTTACGGGGAATAATACAGTTGCCCTCCTGTGGTAGATGTGGGATAGTTAGCCGTAGGGTACTTCTGCGTGCTCTCGCACACGGTGTGTACCATAAAGCTCGTAGTAAATCGACTGTGCAGAACCCGAGCTCTCTCGTGTTGCATGTACGTGGAGAGAGGAGGAAACGATCGGGACGGAATGCAGAGGGATGAGGGGATGAATGAGGGAGAGGTAGGATACGCGGTGATGCAGTAAGAGGTGCGGAAAGGGGAGTAAAGAGAGGGAGAGAGAGAGAGAGAGGGAGAGATGGGAAACCATTATTGAAATGCAGTAAATGGCCGTGAGTTTCAATTGCCCCTGGGTGCTGGGTGCTTCCACTGTGCCCTACGAAAGAGGCAACGGAAGGGAAGTAGTGAGAGTCCCGGAGGGAAGGGAAGGGATAGATATAGGAGCAGGGAAAGGCGTCCCCTTTCCACCCTGCTACCCTCTTGCTGCTACGCCCTGTTCGCGTCTGACCCGTTCTGCCGCAGATGGGAGAGAATTACGATCGTTCGCCATGATTTGCTCCTGTCGGCACGCGAAAACATACTATGTCCGTTGATAATCGTCATAATGACGATTAGCGCGTTCAATTTGTTCTCATGACACTAGGATGCAAATTATTTTTAAAGGTGCGCGATCTCTTTATCTATTCGTGATTATTTTTATTTTGATACAAAATCTCGGTGCATATCTTCAGTATATATTTTCGCTATGCACTTACACATCTACACACACACACATATATATATATATATATATATATATATATATATATATACAATGTCTAACGGACATATAAGAATAGCTATTGTGTAGCTATGATGTATAGCAAGAGGAACTTTTCCTCAGAAGTATAAATCGCGTTGACATTCATCTCTAGACATGTTTTCATATGCACCTATATGTATTCTATGAAGCAACATTCGACGGAAATGTCATGCGGTAAGGGTCGAATCTACTCCGTCCTGTTTTGTAGAATCTGTTGCACAAAACGGGGATCTATATATTATATGTTAAATAACGTTTAAATTATACCACGACGTAACTACTATTAATTCTTAAAATTCTATAAAAATATGCAAACAAAAATCGCAACCATTAAAAATTCTTTAGAATACATTTTATATATTAAATTGCACATATACATACAACGTATTCGCTTCTTTGTGGCATCTATAGTTCTTATTAATTTCATTTGTTGTTTTTATTAATACACAATTAAAGATTTACGATGTCATAGCATTAGATAAAACAAAAGTTGCCACGTTTCATTGTCACGTAGTCACGTTCTCGGGGGAGAACAACAGGCGCCAAAATGCGAGCGTTAGGTAACACAGTCAGAGAGACAAATGCGATATCACACGTCTCATATCTATACCGGAATTTCAATGGAGTAGATGATATTCGGCGATTCGCAGACGTCGGTAGCTAAATTGGACCCGTGTGTCAACCGGCATACCAATAGGCGATACTCGGTCGTCGTAGGTTTTATTTTCTTCTCTTCTGCAAGATATGTCACGCAACATAATTTTTTCCTGTATATTTTACCCCTTGATTAATATTTAGCAATGTAAAACATTGAGATCTGTGTATCTTAAGGCTTCTGTAAAACTGAATTGTATTGTAACGTGATCATTATTTGTGCGTTGAATGCTATAAAATATTATATATAATGGATTTCTATATCTGTTTTTGTTTAAAGCAAACGAGCCGCAATTTCGCACAAAATATTTATTATATATGCTTGACGTAAAAAATTTCAATCAGCTCGGTTGGAACCGTAATTTTAATCCATGCGCGTTTACATACGTAATTAAAATAAGCCGCAATTATTTGCATTTTTAATTAATGGCCGCGTTGGAAAATATTATTAACGACCTATGCAATGCATCGGGCGCAAACAAAATTCTATCCTTTACGTCATGATTGATTTTTATTTTTTATGAAGTTCTGTGTATTTAATATCTCGTCAACAAAATTACAATTCAGAATTAATCGAAGCTTATTTTTTTTTTACAAAGAAAAAACATCTTTGTGGTAATAAAAATATTAATTCTGACTTCTAATGAGTAATATATCAGAATGATGATTATGGACGAGTTCATTAGCTGAATATATTAATTTTAAATCAGTAGCTTTCTTCCTGACTCGCATTAGGTCCTGGTTCTCTCGCGGTAGAATTGTCTAGATAATAATTCGTGAAGACTCATAACTTTGATATAGAACTAACGAGCTTAATACCAGCGCTTTACTTTTGCAAGGGTAATCACGTCGCGCAACGCTATCAAAGAGATGCAATAAAAGAGAGCAAATATCAATACAAGATATCTCCGTGAAGGAAATGAACGGTGAAAAGAAGATCGCGCAAAAACGAGGGGACGAAAGAAGTTCAGGGAAAAAAGAGGAGAAAGTCAGTTATCCCTCTTCGAACTGCGCGTCATAGTGACAAGGAAATAACTCTTTGTTAGGACGAGCCTGCTAATAATGAAGTCGATATTAATCGTTTGCGCTCTCTTCTCCATGAAAGCTGGACCAGCTCGTTCGTTACCCTGAATGAGTAAATACGTGAAACGTATCCGGTAAAGGGCAAAAGCAGGGGTGGCAAACGGGAGGGCCTGTGATATTAACCGCGCAGATCGTCGCCGACAGACAGACAGTGTTGCATATATTTACAGTAAGAGCTTATTACGCGATCTCGAGGGCGTAATTTTTCTTTATAAATAGCCGTCGCGCGAATACGGAAACCCACCAAGGGAAACCCGTCGGGGTTGTGACGTATGATCGGCATGTCGGCCACGATAAAAACTTTAACTGACCCGAAAGATGATCCGCCTCATTTCGTCCGCGGCAACTAACAATAGATCTCTCGTTCTGCTTTTATTCTTTTCTTTTTCTTTTTTTCTTTTACTTCTTCGTTGTGTTCGAAAGAGAGTTGCCATGAAGCACGCGAATTTCGACATTTCATTTCTAGGTCTATCATGTACACAAAGAATTTGCCAGAAAGATGAAATTATTGCAATTCTTAATGTTAGCTCATACTTTATTTCATTATATTTTATGAATGTTGTGTGCGTTATTTTTTTAAATTTATATTTAAATAGATATTTAATTTTTTATATTAATTAACGCAACAAAATTATGGCCTTTTTTTTCATATTTTATCTGTGATATATTTCTTTATTCTCTCATTTCTAATATTTAAATATTTAAAAAAATTTTAATATGTACATATAAATCTTGAGATTAGATTTATATGTACATATTCGAATTATATCATTTTTGATAAAAATATATAGTATTTGAAAAATTATAGGACATACTGCATATTCTTATACTCATCCAATCTGTGTCATTTTAATTGTCGTCGCTGTCACAGTTACAAAAGTATACAGTTACGAAATTGACATTTCAATTACACTGTAGTCGCGAGTTTGGTTGTAAATACCTTGTCAGTGCTTCTAGCTATTTCCTTTTGCTCCGATTGTTATGTATAGTTATGTATGTCTATATATATACATAATCCATAGTCTATTTTATATATATATATATACATATATGTAAAACTGCATTTTGCTTCCTCAATCTCTTTCTCTCTTTCGCTTTCTCATATGCACATTGCTGCATTTACATGTAGGTGTAAATATGAGATTTCCGATATCCGATAATCATTAACCGCGAATGGTAATGAGTTCTCAGTCTGTTATGATTTCGTGTCATCAATATACGACTGATTGTTGCAATATCTCTATATTACTATAATAGATTGGTCATTTGATTACATTATAACTTTTCTCGCGACGCGATCGATATCCTTTTAGATTGGAATCTCGAGTCGTTTTTCGTCCGCTCAACGATTCGACTCTTCGCGAATATCGTGCATGTTGATTTACGAATTCGGAGTTTTGAAGTACCGCGAGCGACGTGAGTGTATCTGACAGCGGATGTCTACGCTTAATTGCGGAAAGCGGCAGATTGAAACTTTTTCCCGTACCACCCGTGTCAAAATCGTTTAAATCCTCGAAATCTAATTATTGTGCAAACGTAGCACGAAAAGTTTCGCTTTATGTTTCTATCTTTTTTTTATGAACTTTTGTAGCTTCTCCATGAAGCTGTAAATGATAGATTTACTGAAGGTAGACTGGCTGGGAAAGAAATAGATATAGAAAAATTAGACGAACACTATTTAATTATAATTATATCTATTAAGGAAAGATGAATGATATCAATATATTATGTTTTGAGAGAACAAGTAGCCACCTTTTGTGTGCGCTTTGTGTTTAAATAGTATATACATTTGCACGGGAACTCGTTTGTCGGAAAGTGGCCGGAATATGGAAACGGAAGGATACAATCGAGATTATGTTTGCGCTTTATGTTTCTCGAGATAGCACAAGAAATCTTTTCAAAAAAGATGTAAGAAGGATAAGAATAAAAGGCCAAATGCATCGAAAAATGTTATATAAAATATAATGTTTTATTGTTGATGATTTTTAAATATGTCAAAATTATGATATTAAAAAAGAAATTGCACTAATTAAAAGTTATTTGTAAAAAATTATGTGCATAATATAATATTTAATTCTTTCATTATCATATTTCGAAATTAATTTATAAATTTTATATTCAATAAAATACAAGTTGTGTACATTCTACTTGAATATTTATATACATATGTATTTTAATATAAAATCAATAGAGTTAATTAGAAGGTGGGGTAACAAAAATTTAATACAAAAAGACTTGCGATAAACAACAATGAAGGAGCAAAACAATGTTGTGATCAATAAAATATATAAATAATATAGTCAAATTATTTATAAAATAGCATCTAAATAATTAATATTTTAAACATTGATTATCGCGCACAATTAAATATTTTATTATTTTTTGTCCTTTATAACAAATATTTCATAACGATACATATTTAAAAAGAATAAATTATAGAATATTTTACACATATTATAATGATATAAAATATTTTATAAGATAATTATCGTGAAAATTAATAAAGCACTTTATTTTTTAGAGAACAATTAATAAATTAAATAATTTATAAATTACTTACTTCATAATTACTCCGCTGTTGTCCAGATTTTGAGCCTTTTCTTCTTTTCTCGTTCACTCTATTGCTTCTTTATGATACTAACACGACACTCACGAAAACATGATTAATTACGATTGCGCGCTAATCAGCAAAATATAACGTATGGAATTTTATATGCCACTTCCGACGTTAATTCCACGCGACGTACACTTTATTATATTGCTATATATGTCAGGCAATTGTGTTAATTTCACCTTATGCCATAAGTGAATATAAATATACAAGTTAAAATTAAAGATAAATATCTTGTGAACTATAAAATTCAAAATATAGTTAAATAACTATTTATGTGACATATAGATCGAATAAATTTCATAAAATACGTATCTTGATAAATTACAATCATGCATGTATAAATTCCGAATTTTTTGCTACGCAATATTGATAAATATTAAAATATATGTTTATAATACAACTAATTTTTAAATAAATGCATAGCGACTCGGAGTTGATTCATACTGTTTTTCTTTCGATGTTTTATTAATGAACAAAACGAAAATAACATTAGTTTTATTCTGATATCACACGATACTATATGCATATCAGATTAATAGCCACAAAATAACCACAAAAATATTGAATATATGTATTACAAAATGCATACATACATATTATGTATACTTCGAATCTAAACATTGAAACAATTATAATTAGTAATAAAAGGATAATTTGTAATGTTAATCGTTTGTTGTACTTTGATTCTTATTTAATATATGACGTATATGGTAAACATATCGCGTCAAATATCTGTTTTAATATATGTATATATTATTATAATAGTCATCGCCGCGACAAATAATTAAAATGATAAGTCGTGATAAATCAATCGCCTCTTAATAATTAATATGAAACTTAAAAAGTACGCGCAAATGTCATATTACATATATACCTATATTTTGTAATATGTTATATCAGATTTTTAAATTTATTGAAGAAAGGCATTTTTAAAAATTTTTTTACAGTATATAAATTCTTATGCTAACATACGATATTTGCGAAATGATCGATATAAGTGGAGCTTTAACGTCTATCTGTTATTGTTTTCTCTTATTGTCAACAAAACGATAGAGAGAGGAAACCATCTTATTTGTAAATTAAAGCACGGGGAGCGCTGTATTTACAATGTAAATAATAGTGTGTAGCCTTGGCCTTGTCATTTGTCATTTGCGTGCGAGGTTCGAGCGAGTAGCAACAACTCGAGTTTCTATAATATCTTAAAATGCAATCGTATTTCCTATAATTATTATAATTTTTTTAATTACTTACGTTATAATGCTGTTTAATACGAATCGATTCGTATTATACTTATGACTTTTGTTAATAATCGAAAACACGAAAACGAGATCGATTTCATCCTGGTATTATATAAATGCTACGCGTACCGAATTAATAACGAGTTAAGAAGCGATTTAAAAAATATAATTAAAATTCAATATTGCAAACGTAACAGATTTTCAACGCATAAAATCTGCTAATTAATTATCCGATGCTGAACATACATAAGAGTATTATCGCAGCTAATGGTTTAAGTAATAAAAAGACAATGTATTAATTATTATCGTTTATTAATAATTAATAATACGAAATTCACACGTGTTGAAAATCTGTACTAGCAATATTAAATTACGATTATACATATATTTTTTGATGGTGTATTACATTTTAACTAACTATTATTAACTTAAATCAATATTATTTTCACATTTTTCAATCACTAACAAAATCGTGAATTACTGATTGATTCAAGTCGTAACATTGTAACATGTTTAATTAAAAAGTACGGTCGTATTTAATTACATTTTTAATGCTTGTAAATTAAATCATTGAATTATTGAAAAGTTTAGCATTGGTCAAGACGCGAAATTATTATATATTGTATATTATATTATTCAATTAAATTTTGTCATACGAACAATCGATGTATTCAATTATATTTTTGAGTATTACAGTTCGCAGATTTTATTTTTATCTGTAACTTGTATCTTATCTTTTTTTACATTTATACTATTGCGCTATTAATAAAATTGCTTTTAATAAATAAATATAATAAAATACACATCGCGAACATCGGAAGTGTTGCATAAAGTATCATCGCGCGATCATCATATTTTGTTCATTAGTGCCTGATTGTAATTAAATATATTTTCGCAAGTAAATGTAGGAATAGCAATTTTTGATGGTACTTTAGATCTTTCTGAATAACACTGGCTATAAAGTTTGGCGCGTCCAATAATAATTTTTGAAATAATAATTAAATGTTGCTATAATTGAGATTTTATATTTGTATTTTACAGACAACGCGCGCATAAAATGTGGGAATGCCGTTAAAAGTATCGCGTATATAAATTCGGGAGTGCCATTAAAAGTATCGCGCGTGTTCGGACCCTGACTGAGAGGAGGAGGAGGCCTCGGAGAGGCATCGGGCATCAGCGGAGCAACTCGAAGGTGAATATATTATTTATATCTTAATTATTAAAAATTACATTTCATTCAGTTTATATATTTGAGTAATTCAGGCAAGAGAAACTTAGAGATATTATATATTTATTATTAAATTTTTAAGAGATTTTCTATAAACTTATATAAATATCTTATAAAAATGTTCTACTTAAATTTTTTTTAATTTATAAAATTATTTTATATAATTTATTATTGTTACGCACTAAATAAAAGTTTGGCGAATCCAATAATAATTTTTTGAAATAGTAATTTATAATTGAAACGCTATTACAATTTAGATTTTACATTTGTATGTTACAGACAACGTGCTTGAACCTCCACTGTTGTGTATCGGAATCGGTAAGTGAAATAAATTGTTATTTAATTTTGAAATAACAAATTTATAGTTTGTAGTTGTAGATTGTAGATTTTGTAGATTGTACATAAACTAGAATGAATTAGATCAAATTTACTCAGATTGGACTTTTGATAGATGCCTTTAATATACATAATTGAAGCATATTACACATACAAGTGTAAATTAAAATACAATAAAGCATATGACAGAAATACGATATAATCACGTTGTGACAATCTGCCAAAACATTACAAGTTGTTCATAAATCGATCAGTATCGTGACACAAAAACGCGGTCGTCGGTCTTGTCGAAACGATGCTTACTCGCAATATTTCGTCTTCGTGTGTCGAGTGAGAGCTAAAGGGGATGATGAGATGGATCAAGGAGAAGAGACAGGGAAAGAGATGTATTCTCGCATCCGAGGAGACTTCTATCATAAAGTAAACAATTTATAACTTATTTAATTAATTAATTGTAAAATTTGCTTTATATTTTTACTTATGCTTCATTTTTACGAGTTATCTAAAAATGATATAAAATTAAAGAATTGTATAGGTATTGATTACATATGTAATACACAGAGCGAAGCAATATTAGAAGATATTAGTAATATTTATTTCTTATTCTATATACATAATATAATGACAAGTAATATAATGCATCCGATAGCTATATCGTTCTCATTGATCCTTTCATCGGACTATCGCATAGCTTTTCATAAACTTTCCGGTGGAATAGGTTTTTTCCGTGAAACAACTCCTTTACATCTATTATGTATGAATCTGATACGCGGAATTGATTTTCATGTTAAAAACCGCCTGTAATATTCAGTATGCTACGTTAGCCCTTTAGGGTACCAATTTGGTGTAACGTGCGTTTCAAATTCATGCATGAATAATAGATCCATGTATACCCATCGTCGACGGTACCTATATGCGGGTTGGTAAACGGGCGAATGCTCATTTCTTTTTTCGTCGATACTATCCGCCTCTATCTCGGCAAAGTGAAATTAAAACTGCTGGCTGTGCAGCCATGCGATTTTTGCCAAAGAGACGTTTCGAATACGACCAATATATTTTTCGCTTATTAAACTATAATATTGAATCTTGCATATGCAATTTGTAAATAATTCAATTGGATTTAAATTTAAATGTGCGACTGCCACGTTATTGTGTTGTGAGAAACGGTGAGACAAATCATCCTTCACATTTCAAAAGATGAAAACGTAGCCTACTTTAGAATTCTGTATAAAAAAAGGATTTGCATAAAATATTTAAAATTTCGTAGCGTTTATATATTGTATAGTTTATAAGCAACTGATAAAACGAGATATAAATATCGTTTCGCGACGATTTATAATTATAACAACACGGGTGAATCAAATATTAAATTAATGGAATTATTCAAAGTTGCTGGAGAGCAAATAATTTTTTTATATTTTCTCAATATTCGTGTTTATTGATCGTATATTTTCCCTCATTTAATAAATGTGAACACATGTTTTTTAACGTGTTATATCACTTCGTGAGGCGACGAATTATTAAAAGATATGACTATTTCTCTATAACTGCTTCCACATACTAGCTTACATATCATTAAATTCTTTACTTCTGTAAATGTCGGCTATAAATTCTATATTATTAAATGAAAATCTGTACTTTCGAATGACTTATTTGCGCGAAATTGATATACGATATAACTTAGCGACGCGGAAATAAAAATGTGGTATACTTTATTCGTTAGATATTAGTTTCATTCGACAGAAAATTTGTTTCCGGAAAACCGCGTACTTATTAGAGGCAATAATAAATGCTTCGTGCTTTCTGCAAAACATTTTACATATTTATCCAATATAAATCTTTTTGAAGTAACGTAAATTTAATATATTTTTTTAGTGCAGTCTTTTTTATTGATTGATAAGAAGTTCTGAACATTCGCAATAAATAGGTAAAACCAAATTTATAAATATATTTAAATTAAATTTATATTCAGATATAACTTGATAATTTTTTTATTTTTCATTAATATCAGCTGTACATTCTTCTATTAATTTCGCGCTTTGTTATAAAAAAAAGACATGTATTATTTCGATATAAACGCTTCACAGATCACACACGCGAATATCGCGTTTATAAACACTTTCTATATTAAAGTGTATTAAAAGTTGAGGCAACCCTAGATAACTAACTTTCGTCTGTAAGACGTGCGAATGTGTACATTAAGATTCTCAAGATATAGCTCGACTGTACCTCTTAGGTCTTGTGCATCTTGCATGGTTTCCTCTTCCTCCTCTTTTTCGTTTCTCTTCCTCTCTCTCTTCAGGGAAGCAGGTCGACTGTGCCGACTGATACAGTAGTACTTTCTAATTAACTCTCTGGATTTCCTTACACACCTTCCTTGCAGTGTTATTATCCTTGTTCTTCGAAGACTCGTAGGCATCGCTTACACGCCTGCTGAATGTAAATTATATCGATCGATGGCAGTCTTGCTATTAATAATAACCTTCCAATTACCAATTAATATATTAATCATTATTTATGCAAAGGCACAGAAATATAATAAATATTTAATTTTTCAAGGAAAAATTTCGACATCGCGTAGACGCGACTTAAAATTAATATAAATAAATTAAATTGCATCTAAAATAACATAGATTTTAAATTGTTTTCCTTTAAATTAATGTGATGACATTAATTAAAACAACTTTTGACTAACAATAAAATATCTTACAAAAGATGCGATTTGAGGATAACGTAAAGCCTAAGCGATGTGTACAAAACTCCAAGATGATATCATTGAAATGCTTGAAAGTACGCAATTCGAGGAGAAGAAGGAGGAAAAGGAAAGAAAAACTTGATTTTCCACACGATGAAGAATGTCCGAAGATGTTCAGTATTTCTAACATAGTTTCCTATATCCGGATGGAAAGTGAAGTCGCCTGGGATGACCCTCGGCCCGACGATATCTGACGCGCGGACGGTGGTCCCATGAGCGTTTCACCCATCAAAGTGGTTTCATGTCTTGCAACTTTAAAGTCGCCGTCAGATGTAAAGTCGCCGTTCGTTTTTCTTTCATATCGCGGTTGTTAGAGAATAGATACATCTTTGTATTACGCGCATCTATTGCTAAAAACGCACAAATGCATATACATATATAAAAAAAAAAATCTTCATGCGCATGACCAAAAATAATTGATGCTTTGGGAGTAGCTCTTCCTTTCCCGGATTTCTCTCGTCGAAAATTCCCGGATCATCGGAGCGTATCCGGATTTGTCGAAATTATTTCGTTGTTGATGCCATATATACGAGCTGTGAACGTGAATTAGGCACAATCTCGGGGTATTACATTGCATAATTACATACCCACTTCATTATTGCATATCAGAGGAGAGAAAGCGGATCGCGCGCTTCTGCCGGGCCAGATCAAGCCGGATCGGACGAGCGGATGGCCGGCGGTTAAACCTTGGGCTTGGGGGAATGAAAATTCAGTTCGACGTGCAATCACCGAATTTCAGACACGTGTACGTCAGTAAATTACCACCGATACACGGAAATATCGGGTGAACGCATGAATCGTGAACATGCGTTTTCACGCGAATGAGCGTACACGCGCGTGCATTCATCTTCCGTGTTACGATTATATATTTATATACACACGAGGGATTCGATTACACGGGTACTCGGCGCTTGCGTCGATGATGTCGAACGTTATAATTTTAGGGAATAATAAATAGCGCCGGGATTGTGCGCGCGGCGGACCTACCCGAATTCGATGTAAATATTCATGGCCGTGGTGCGTGCGTATATGCGTATGCACGCGCGCGAGGATTATTGTCGCGGATGAGCCGTGGCGTGGCACAGCCTGCGTGTTACCCATGTACACGGCCGATTTTAAGCGGCCTAACATTTTTCGCGCGTTAAAACTATTGACCAGAGTGGGTGTTGCGGAGTATTTCACCCTACAAAATTGTGGCACGTTGGTGGCTCCAGTGCTCGCATTTTCATTCCCATCGCGCGTATAATACTGATTTTCGCTTATGACAATGCCGTTCGACGACTTGCAGATTATCTTTTTCCGTGTATGGCAGACCACCACGTGTTAATGCGATTTGTGACCCCTTTCTTCCCCCTAACGCGCGCATGCAAATATTTTTTTTCGTACTTGACTTTGGTTAGTGGGTTTTCATTAATTTTTTATTCTGCTAGAGTTTTTATGAAGAGCTGAATATTAAAATGTTAAGAATTCGAATTAAGAAGCTTGTGATGTATGTATATTTTCAATTTACATTAAATTAAAGGCATATGCACTTCTGTAAAGATTATTTCGATATTTTTTATAAACCAATATAAATACTTATTATATTCTCATTCTCTCAAGATTTTATTTTATATATTATTCCAAACTAAAGTAAATTTTATTTTGCAAACAAGCATTAGATTTAAAATAATATGAATCCAATTTACCAAAATTAATTTGATATATCAGGAAACACAACATATATGTATATTTATACTATATTTCCATGAATCTCGTTACGACAATTCCATCGCATATTGAATTATATTTGTGGAAAAATAGAAAGATTAATATGCTTCTGTTTTTCTTGAAGTATAATCACAACAATTATTAAGAGAAATGCTAAACAATTATTCTCTACAAATTAAAGATTGTCAGTTTGCAGAGTTAATTAACTTTTGCGTAATTTATATATAATATTTATGTAGTATGCTCTTATTCTTAATGTTTATTTATAATATTTATAAATAAACATTTTAAGTAGATACAACAAAGAATAGAAATGATAAATTATTTTAATTTTATCACGATGCTTACGGATAATTGTTTCTTTAATGATATTTGAATTCGAATGCATCTAGCAACGTGTGTTTTGAATTTTTTGTTGATTACAGCTAATTTGTCTATCATTATTGAGGAATAAGAGCATACTACATGTTTCATCGGATCGATTGATTTAAATAATGAAAAGCTGGCATCTATCGAAAGTTTATCAGTATTTATTAATTTGATATACATTGAATAACACATAGTGAACATTTGCTTATCTTTGCCATTAATTATATCATATCAATTTTATAATATATGATAATTTATTTTATTTTAATTAAATAATATCTTATATCGATAAGGCGAATTGATTGATACATTCCAATCAGTTCATCGATGAAATTTTTCTGATAAGTATACTTTGACGTGGATGGAAGGCCTCAGTATCCGGAAGGTTTATTCTGAAGGAAAAGCAAAGTACCGAAATTTTTTTTAACACTATCCATATTCTTTTTCACACTTTTAATTATCGTCGGCGGTTGCACTTTTGATGTCGATGGAATTGCATGTCAGATTGAGGCATTGCTGACCAACATTCACACGCGCCCATGTGCTTCGCGGCCGACGAAATAAGACTTCATGTACATGTACATACATATAAAGTTTATCGACTCGAAGTACAATCGTCGAAATGTGAAACAGGATATTAATTTGCGGTATTTATGATCACGAAATTTGCACAAAGTCATGCATTAAAAATAAATCAAATATTAGATTCCGAAAATGGTTCGTTGCATTTTAATTAATTTTGATTTCAGGAGTGCCGTATGAAGTATCGCGCGTCTATTTTTAACGTGCCGCGAACGATTCGTATAGTGTCGCACGTCTATTTTTAACATGCTGCGGACGATTCGTCGCGTTTTTAATTTCAATTTCGGGAGTGCCATAAAGTATCGCGCGTCCGGGAGTGCTGAGTAAAGTGTTGCGCGTCCGGGAGTGCCGAGTAAAGTGTCGCGCGTCCGGGAGTGCCGTGTAAAGTGTCGCGCGTCCGGAAGTGTCGCGGACGGTTCGCGCGGTCATATTTTCGCGAATGTGTGCGACAACTATAAAAGGAGGACAACCTGAGAGGCGGAGGCCTAGGAAGCATCGGCGCAGCAATCCTGACGTAAGTAAAATTTATTGTTTGTACAATATATCATTTATTATATTTTCATAATCACGTATTTACTCTGTCTGATTTATTTAACTGAGTTAAACAATAATTAGTTGAGAATTAGACAAAATTTATATATCTTTTAAAAGCTTATAATTAAAAAGGATGAAATATGGATTTTTTTGGAAATTATACATTGTATATAGTTATTTCATTAAATATCTACTTGTGATTGAAAATTTGGCTTTACTTTAATTAAAGCAAGGTTATATTAAAATGACATGCGATTTAGTAGATGTTTTGCGAATATTTTAATGCAATTATATTTCACATACATTATATGAAAATAATAATTATAAAAAACAATTTTGATGCAATGCGTTGCGTAAATATAATGATGAAATATTAATATTGATGTAAAATTTTATAAAAAGTATATACGGTGATGAAAAACAAAAAATTATAATTGAATTGACACTTGGTTGTACGGAAAATTCAATTTTTTAAAGAAATCTCATACAATTTATTGTCTTAACGTTGATATGCTTCTGAGATTAGATTATGTATAGTAACGATTATGAACAGCGAAATATAAGACAAATATCAATATAAGCACTAGTGGATCCTGACATCTATAATAGGGCGGAGGAGGGGGGTCAAAATTATTTAATTAAAGATCAACGACGAATTTTTTTTAAATTTGCAAGGAAGGGTTAAAGGATCCGCCAGCGCATGTGATATCTGTAAAATTTAACACAAATTTTTCAACCGTGTAGCATAATGATACGTAAATCGGGGCCTAAATTTATAATAAAACAAATTATCGCTTTAATTGCTGGAACTAATTAAAAATATTATAGAACTATAGAACTCGTCGAAAACTATAAAAATCATTAGTTTAAATTCGAAGAATGACATGATATGCTAAGTTGGCTTGAAAGTTAGCATATCATTTCACATTTTTCTAAATTTGAACAATGAAATTTGATAGTTTTCGATGAGTTCTATAGTTCTGTAGCCTAGTTCCAATCGTGTACTACCACTAAATCTATATTTCACCCCAAAAACGCGCAATTACGAATATTAAGGTACGCTGACCGTATTTCAAACATTTTATCTATTGTAAAATAATTCTCGTACAGTATTGAGCACGTACATTGATTATCCAAAGAGTTCTGTTCATGAAAATATTTAGGGAATTTTTTAGATAATTATTTAATCCGAAAACTGGGGGATAAAATTAATTATCGGCTTTAATGGCTGAATCTAATAAAAAAATGAAAGAGCGAGCTTAAAAATATGTGTAAAAGTCAATGAAATAATCCTCAGTTTGATAATAAAATTTTTTGAAAAAACACGTGTCAATACCTACACAGTAAAAAAATTTGTTTTCTTATTAAAAACGGTCCCCGTTAAAATTTTTTTTGTTAAATATTTAACACATTTATGTGTTAATTTAACATATTGCTATTGTTTTAATTGAACTTAAATATTAAGTTATTAAAACAACTGAAAAAGGATGTAAAAATAACACAATGTGCATCTATATTTAATTTACACAATAAATATGTTCTGCTTTATTAATGACAAGATTTATCTGTTAAAATTTACAGAAAAGATGTTGATTTTCTATTTTATAATATAAGTGGGGATGGTAAAATTTTAAATTAATATATTTTTAGTTAATTTTTACATTAAAACTATATTAATTTTACACAAAATTTATTTTAAATTATTTGAAGTTTTGCATTTATTTTGTATTAAAATGTTAACACAATATTTGTGTCTCCATTTAACATATTCATATATTATGTTAAATTAACACAAAAATTTCTGTGGACCGTTTGGGACGTGTATATACATAAGATTCTCGATTTGCGCTAGCAAAATTCGTTTATCATTTTTTAAACTTTATGCATATTTATAATGTACATATTTATACGAATATAATATCGCTCGATCAGGATAATTTAAATTTAATAAAATGCGATATTTTGTAATATTTTCCAACTTCAAATGAATTTTTTCTTTTCAGATTGAAACATGGCATCGACGAGAGCAACTCGCAACGCTTCTTTCTGTAAGTGATATAAATCATTTTAAGATAAAAAGAAACAACGTTTAATAGGATACTATTTAAGAGATCAATGTAATATATGTTTATGTGGAAATGTGTATAACTTCCACAAAAACGCAAGGAATAACGTCTGAGAACAGAGTTATCGTGTATATATCAAATTTTTTCAAATAATAGATACAGCGAACGTGAACATTTTCGCATATTCGTGTTCGATCGCGTGTTATTCTTATACGATATGTACCCCGATGCGGAACGGTGTATCGCGACTGTGTGGTAAATTCAACCAGAAATATCGCTAAGTCCACAAACGATATTCACGTGTACGAGGAAAACAATTCGGGATCCGTCTCTTTGCCGAATACTACGCATATGCACGATGAAAATGCAAATTTGGAAAGAATGTGTGCGTATATGTATGCGTACGTGCATGTTCGCCGGGGATATATTCGACAAACAAATGATACGGTTCAAAACACGATCTGCAGTGATTCGCAAAGCATAGAGAACAGCCGTCGATAAAATACACCGGAAATAGGATATTCTTGTCCCCCTTCGAGACTCTGTGTTATAGTAGTCAAGCTGGATAGATGGATGCACGTTTGATATACTGTCTACGCCGATCGATCACGCACCCTATTCTACTCGTTTTGCATTCACAAACGAGCGAATGAGACAAACATATTTCGATTCGCGTTGGATAATCACCGAAGTTTAATCTAAAGAGTCCTTATTATTGATTTTTAACGTACGATTTTTTATAATACTTATCTATCATTAATTGTGGCTTATATTTTAATCACTTTTGAAGGAGATAATTAAAACAGAATAATACTTTTTTTAAATTAGATTAATGAATATGATGAGTTTACTCTCAAATAAGATGTCACTTGAAAGTTCGCGCAATTTTAAGCCAACCACACTCGGTTGTTTCTCGCGGACTCTATACGCATCCGATTAATCTTGGTGTCCTTAAAGTATACATAAACGAGCGACGTCGGTCGTCTCAATTATTACTGAACTGCCTTCTGCCAGTCAGCCGGAAACGTATAGTACCCGCGGCGAGCGCAGTCTGATTTTCCGCGCCGCGTATACTGCGCAAGGTTTTCACGGGACTCAAATTCTAACATATACTATCCGCGAGGTCGGTCTCGAGTAGGATATGGGCCTTGCATCGTTTATGATGGGTTTCTGATTCGGAGATGAGTGTACGTGGGACGCATAAGATAGGGTCTCACCTCAGCAAATCTGCACGTGACCCTAATACGGGTTACCGCGTCATCCGGATTCGCACGTTCCCATGTGCATCCTAAAGTCTAAACACTCCTATATGAGTCGAGGCTTTGGTCGGCGGCACTATCGCGCACACGTGGTCGCACACGTATACATAGCTGAGATGCAGAGATGCATATAATACATCGATATACGACGCGTATCTACAAGATATACGGAGAAAATGTCATAGTACAATTTTTATATACTTTTTTGTAATCGTGGAACATAATAACATATATAAGCAAAATTGTGATATTTTATTTTATTTATAATGATATTGTATATCTATTATATTTTATAAATAACTATTCAAATATTTTGATGCATAAACGTTAACATCAAATGCATAATTTACAATTTTTATAAATATCCGGATGTAGTTATACGGTAATTATACAACAAACGTAAAAGAGAATGTATGTTTCATATAATTTGTACTATAAAATTTTCTCCGCGTGTACATGCATTTTTACAAACAGTCATTTTCAAGAGATAAACTATCGAATCATCGCAATTTTCGAAATAAAAAAATTATTCTCTCTAATCTTTTTTTCAACAATTTTTTCTCGATTTTTATTTTATTATTTCGATCCAAATTATTCCTTAATTTAATGTGAGCGGTACAGAACTTAAATTGGCAGAGTATCGATCGCTTGCATATTCCCAATCGCATATCGCGCGTTACAATTTCTATGAGATCTCGCTGCACGGCGTGTTTATCAAGGCATAGACATGCAAGTGGGCTATCTTTTTCGTGGACAAGACGAATGCTGATGCGGCAGGGCAAGATCTTTGGAATATACACGGTGGTTCGGGGGGTCGCGGCCGGTTGGTCAGTCGCTGTTGTTTTATTCAAGAAGCTGAATATTGAAACGAAAACCAATACCGGCCATCCGTTTCCACGCGGAGGAAAACGGATGCGCTTATATCCTCGCGCTTACATAAATGCACGGAAGCGATGTCTATATGAGAATGCGTCGCGTCGTATCGGACCGCCTGCTCTCGACAGGCGTCTCGTCAGCGGCAAATTATCTGCTTGGCTAATTGATCAGTCGTCTAACGGTGGCGATTACGGTGTCGCTAACGAGCATCTACCGTCTAATGAGCGTCGAGTTGTGTTATCGTTTGATGCCGTTTATACTAGTTAAGTATCGATATACATGCGCGGAAACAGATAATGTTTTATTAAAAATTCGGGTACAAAGTCATGTTAGAGAGGAATTAATGTTTTTTATTTAAAAAACCGTATGTAACTTTTTCACAACGATATGATTTGCAATAAGTTTATACATTAACGTTGAACTTTACTCTTATTTTAATTGGGACATGTGACGTTGGATATGTAAAATTAGACGTGACATTTTTGACATTTATTATCGAGTTTTCCTAATTTGCATTATTGTTTTAATCGATGGTTTCTCGAAAATAAACCATTAAAAGACTTTCTTGAAATATTTAGTCGATTTTTTTTCATAACAAAAGGTCAGATACTATATTGGATATAACATTTTGTCTTAGGCATTCATTCGTTTAACTTATTGTTAGACGATACTTTAACTAAACTACTTTAACTGAACTACTGAACATGGTTGATAGTCGAATTCATTTCTAAATACTATATTGATTGAAGTAAATTGTTATACGTTTGATAAATTTAAAAAAAGTAAGAATATATAAATTAAATTAAGTTTTTTTTATAAATTTTATAAAATAAGTAATTAATAACGGAATAAAAACAAATAGATATTTTAATTATCGGAATTTGCATGAAATTTATATATATATATTATATATATATATATATATATATATATATATATATATATGTATGTGTATATATAACATGTGTGAACAGACAATCGATTTCATCATCAGCTATGATCGCTTAGTTAATTACCGATCAAATGTGGAATCGGTGAAATGCTCATCTCCGTTGACGAGGGTTTCGTAATTCCTACGACATCCTGCATTATCCTGCATTAATGGCGACAATAAGAGAACGTGCCGTCTGATAATATCATTAAAGGCTCGGTGACAACCGAGTTGCCTGAGGAATTAGGATGATTACAGAATTTAGCGAAATGTCACAGTCGGATCATGAGCTTATAAACCTTGCGCAGCGAACAGTCCACTTGTATCAGCATCTAAATATAGATTCATGTGGGATATAAGTCTGTTTGTATTATTTTATTTACTACACATCTAAATTTTTGCATATTCTTCGATATCCTAAATAAGATTTTTTTCATTGAATTATAACGTTGAGAGAGAATAGTTAATCGTTTTAAAATTAAAAAATTTCTTTTCGACATATCTGGTATAGAAAATGCTTTATAGAAATAATACACTTTGCGTCGGTTATATTTACATTAAACTCGAAATACATTTCAAGGGAAGAATATCGTACATATATTCAAGATATTCAGACAGCTGTGACGCAACACGGTTTAGGAAGAGTACTTTAAAAGACACTTACGGGAACTGTATCACATATGTCAACAGCGTAGATCGAGGAATTCACGAGGGGGATATTTCGATAGAGAGGGAGATAAGCAAGAGGCTAGTTATTCGAGGTTTCCTTCTATCCGCGAAAATCTGGAAAAACTTTTCCAGTGCATTCTACAGAGTATGATTGATTGTTCGAAGTCGATAGTCTGAGTGCGTCGCGAACGCGATTCTATCATATATTTTTCGCTCGTCAGTGGCGCGCATTATCTCGCCGCGTTTATCACGCTTCTACGGCCTCGTAGCGTAATATTGTACATAGCTTGCACACGTATGTATGTACTTATTACGACTATATATGCGCCTTTGCTGTGTATCTACATATCTCCGCCGCTCGGGAACTGTTGCGAAACGTTCCGCGTCTGAACACGGTAATGTAAGTTTGAGCACGAGGGTGTAGCCGTTACAAACATGTCCCTAGATATGTCCTTAGCTTGCCCTCTCCCCTCCCGTCAAACTCTTGTCGCTTTGGACCAGGTTTGGTTGGCGAACAACGCAACTCGCGGATGATAAATTGTAAATCTGTGTGATAAATTATAAAATGATAAATTGGCAATCTTGTACGCGCGAAAAACACACCTCGCGACATTCGTTTAGCGAAATAAATGCACGGATGCGCTGCGGTAAGCGCTATCTAAAAACGTCATATGGATGTGAGCCGCGTGCATTTTTTTGGCACACACATAGTTATGAATGTATGCACATATATTCAAGAGAAGCAATGTACACGATTGCGTTTTTTTTTTTTTTTTTTTTTTTTTTTTTATATATGTAAAGTGAAATAAAATACCCGGGATAAAAAAAAGAAAACGCGATATTCTGTTGTATCGACGAGTCCTTTTGACTTTGTCGTATCCGCGACACGCGATAAAACGTACGAGAAGGCCATTTCGATGCCGGCTACGTATACCTTTAAGTTCGTTAACGTTCAACCAACGCGGCTACGTAGGACTACACTTTTGCCCGGTGTATTTTCGAGAGGCAATTTCCTTGCGATTGGTTCAGAATGGTTCCATTACACAAGGATATCGATGCGGCTGTGCGGCGCGCGAGATGGAATACTGCCACTGCGCGAAATTCGATCTACAATCTACGCTCTGTCGTCGCATACTTCCATATCCGGTTCGTACAATTGGTCAGGGATACAGTAAGCGATACGAGGATATAAAGATAATCTCTGCAAACAAACGTATTGTTCGCGCGTTAATTAAACATCGATCTTA